TAATTCTAGGACTATAAATCTATAGTAATTTAGACAGCTTGAGAAAAGACTTATAGAGCAATGACAAAAAAATAGAGTTCAGAATTCCAACTTTACACATATGTTCAATTAATTTTGACGTAAGAGTCAAAATAATACCATGGGGAAAAGAGTTTTTCCAACAAAAAGTGCTGCATCAATTGGATATTTTTGTGTGAAATTTTTGAATCTCACTCCTTATTTCACACTATACATCTAAATTAACTCAAGAAAAATTGTAGTCCTAAACATAAAACCTAAAGCTAAAAATATCCTATCAGAAAAGGTAGACAAAAATATTTGTGACCTTAGGTTACATATTTCCAAGATAGGACACAAAGGAAAAATATGATCAATTTGACTTCATCAAAATTAAAAATTTGCTCTTAACGAAACAATAAGAAAATAAAAGGGAAAGCCATTGACTAGAAGAAAACTTTTGCAAAACACATGTCTGGTAAAGGATTTGCATTCAACAATTCAATAGTAAGAAGATAATCACAAATAGGCAAAAGCTGTTTGAATGGCAGGGAAAATATAAGAATAGCAAATATGCAAGTGAAAAACTATTCAACATTATTAGTAATTAGAGTGATTAAAAGCAACAGAGTTGAATAGACCAAGTATTGCAAGAGGGTGGGGCCATTGGAGATCATCTTTGTTGGTGGGAATACAAACTAATACAACCAGCTTGGGAATTTGTAATGATAAACATCCACTTAAGTATCCAACCTAGCAACTCTCTGGCTGTTTATCCTAGCAACCCTTTTTCTAGGTATTTATCCAAGGGAAATGAAAACATGTGTCTGCACAAAGCCTTGTATGCATCTTCACAGCAGCTTTATTCCCAGTAGCCAAAACCTAGAAGCAAGTATCCATGAATTACTAATACACGATAAAAACGAATGAACTGCTGCTATACAGAACAACACGGAGGGATCTCAAAATTATTATGCTAAGTAACAGAATCCAGACACAGAAGACTACATAATGGTATGGTTTCATTTATATGAAATTCTATAAAGAAAACCTGTAGTGACTAAAAGTTGATCAGTGGTCTTTAGGAGTTAGAGGTTCCCAGGGTCTGGGAGTGGGAAAAAGGGATATAAGAAAATGGGCACAGAACACATTAGGGTGATAGAAATGTTCTTTATTCTGATTGTGATTATGGTTAACCAATGGTTTACAGTTGTCAAACTTGTAAAATTGTATCTTTAAAATGATAAATTTTACTGCATGTAACTTAAACATAAAAAATTTAATTAATTTAAAAATAGTTAATAAAAAGTCTTTAATAAGACTGTTGTAAGCCTATCTGGGACTCACTGCTACCTGTTGTATGAATTACACAATTTTAACAGTTTGTTCAGATCAATATCACTAGTAATTGTTACATGCTTACTACATGGCAGGTACTGCTTTGAGTGAATTTACAGTTTTTGCTAATTTAATCTTACCAACAACTCTATGAAGGAAATAGTGTTATCTCTTTTTGACAGATAAGGAAACTGATTACAGAAATTTAAATTAACAGCTAGTAAGTGGAAAATTTATATTTTGAAAGAGGCAGTTTGACTTTAGAGACCAGATTCTTAACCACTACTATATATTGAGAGGCAAACACAGCAAACGTTACATGTCAATACAATGCACTATGACTAATCTCAGGTGAAAGGTATATGTAAATAAGTTCATAAATTCAGGGAGGGTGAGGCTTGGCTTGGGAAGATCTTATTGGAAAAAGTAATTCCAGTTCTGAGTTTCATGAGCCGGGAAGAATTTGAATTGTTAATTAGCGTTAAAAATGTGATATTACTGAAAGCCACCTGACATTAGATAACACACTTTATTTCCCCCTCACACCAGTTGTTTTATTCTTGGGCTCAATGAAATAGATGACGTTAGTAATAAGGGATGAGGCAACCGTAGTCTCCTATAAGCAAAGGCTATATCAATTTTTTAATTGCAATTTTTTGTGCTTTAAAATCAAAGATCATTCTTACATGAAACTCTAACATCTCTCATTAGATTCAACATTAAAAGCCATGTTTAGAGAGAGTTTTTGAAAACTGAAGGAAAATCCTTCACACTTAAAAAAATATTACATCACACACTGGGGCCTGTCGGGGGTTTGGTGGCTAGGGGAGGGATAGAAGAGGGTAGTGGGCTAGGGGAGGAATAGCATTAGGAGAAATACCTAATGTAGAGGATAGGGTGATGGGTGCAGGAAACCACCATGGCATGTGTATACCTATGTAACAAACCTGCACATTCTTCACATGTATGCCAGAACTTAAAGTATTAATAATAATTGCTTCAAAATGCAGTTCTCAATCATTCCAGCAGATGGCAATACAATCATTGTTAAAAAAGTAAGTTTCGTCATCAAACTGGAAAAAAAGGCCAAGTGAAAACAACCATCCTTATTTATTTATTTATTTATTTATTTTTTTGTTTCATTTCTTTTGGTTTTTCTCCTCTGTGGTAAGCCCTTTTTGGTTGCTAAAACAATTCTATACCAAATGTTTTTAAAGTTGTATAAAACATTTAGTATAGAATTATATAAATTATATATTTTATATATTTTTATACATTTTATATAATAAATATATAATTATAATTATATATTTATTATATAAAACATTTGGTATAGAATAAAGGAGCTCATAACTAAGGACCTAGTTATGAGCTCCTTTAAATGCTAAGATAGAGATACTAATCATTTTTTTTTAATCGTAGCAAGAACACTTAGCATGGGTTTTACTTTTTAAACAAATTTTACATTTTGCTACATAGCATTGTCAACTAGAGGAATAATTCTGTAGACATGTCTTCATTCTGTAGAAATAGAAGGCTGTGAGGAAGGGATGATTTGGTCAAAATTGTTCATTAGAAACGTAACTCTGACAGGGAAAGGACAAGTGGAAGAATGTAAAAGAGAGGACTGCTTGTTAGAAAACAGGAAGGGGCAAGGGGAAGATCCAGAAGAGAGGTAACGGGAAAACTAGGGCTTAGATGAGGAAACGAACTGCCGACACAGAAGGGAAAGGACTGAGCAACTAGCTGGATGTCAGGCATTCAAAAGAAGGAATAGCCAAAGATAACTCCAGTGTTTTAATCTGGTTTAGGGGAAAGCTAACTAAAGTACATCAGGAGATCAATTGGGCTTGGACCAGAGGGAGTGTTTTCAGGTAATACTGTGCATCTACACAACTTAGCAGTTGACAATTGGGTCTCCTGTTTAGATAAGAAGTAAAATTTAAGAGAGACATAAACGCATGGTGGATATTTGTGTCCATAGGAGTAGATAAGAAAGTCACAGAGAGATAAAGGTCAAAGTCCCAAAAAACTTCTAGACAACGTTTGCGTTTAGGAGAAACCAATGAGATGGTTAAGTTTAGCAGAATTCTCAGGTGGCTGTGGTATCTTACAATACCTGGAACAAGAATGAGAAATATTTCAAAAAGTTTGAGAAGATGATTAGAAAAGAGGTCACTGGAATTTAAGAAACTTAATGGGATAGAAAGCAGATTATCATGAGAAACATTCAGAGTAGAATTGTTTTAGCAACCAAAAATGGCCCATCACAGAGGAGAAAAGCTAAAAGAAATGAAATAAAATAAAAAGGAGAGACTGTAAGAAAGTCTGAAATCTCTTTTTAAAAATCTGACATTAAGGGAAGGGAAGATTGGGTCTTCTGTTTGGAAGAATTTTGTTCTTCTAAAGATGAGGGAAAGAAATGGTTCCCTTCTAGTAGTTTGACTAGACAGCAGGAACTGGGAAATCTTAACACAACAGAGAGCCTTGAGCATGACTGTGTCTGCCTGAAGAAGACATTTGAAATTAGACTAAAGTTATTTTCTTTTTTTTTCTCTTAAATAGCATGTAGATAATTTAATGAAACAGCATAACTTCATTTAACAGAAGTTTTGTGGATGCAACAAAAATTAGACGTATAATTGTAAAGCATATTTTGCAACCTGTTTCTCATTATTTATTATTAATCCTGTGTCTGCTTGGCTCCTCTCTGTTGCTGATGTCTGAAGCTTTGGGACTATGAGAATTAGTCATGCTAATTACATCTGTTCTCAGCATTCAAGATCTTCTGACGTCGTGGCAACTGGTAAGTCTGAGGGGCTGTCGGAGAGTGAACCAAGCATTAAAAGTCATGGGAAGCTCTAAAGCCTGTTGCTCTCTTATGATATGTATGTTTTCTTGTCAAGGCTTTTAGAGAGCCTTTCATTCTATCCTTTCTGCTTTTTTTCCTTAAGGAAAAGAAAAATTAGCTGACAATGCTGTATCTTGTTGGCAGAATTACCAAGGTGTAGAATTTGCTGCGTGTCCTAGAGCTTTGGTGTCGTGGTGTCATTTGTGTGCAAAGGAGTCTGCAAAGGCTGCCAGTTGAATCTGTCTGGGGAAAAAACAACATAACTTTGAGAAGCAAACAACTGAGTCTGCCATAAAATATGATAAACATATGGGTTTCATTAAAAGCTCATGGCAAGGCAAAGTATTCAGACACAGAGGAAAGTGAAAAA